GTCATAAAACGTGTTTTGAAAAGTACCGTAAATAAGAAAGTCTTTGAAGATTTTGACTGTTTGTAGAATATCATTCGAGGTGCCAGGCACACTGATCTTAAGTATTCGTGAACGCATTCGGGTAACGCAAGCATAGACGAAAGCAATAGGCGATAATAAGCCATCTCAAGCCATCTTTAAAGACTTTTGAGAGCTTTACGTTATGGTATTCATAAGCGCATAAATACCGAAAACTTTCGAAAACTGAGCAGTATCCAAAATAAACTTGAGTGACTTAACTCGGAGAGTCAAATGTTCCGTTAAGCACAACATGGTACAAGGAGAATACGACGGAAACATGATGTTTCTGCTGTTTTGTATCGCACGTCAAACATTTACTATTTGTATCATTGGATCCGACGTTTATGACGAAAGGGCAAAACCCGCCCATTTCTTGGATTTAGGGTAAACGTACCAAACACATCAAGTAACCGGACATGCATGGAGGATATTGATATAAAGCAACAGGACAAGGGCCGTCTGTCTCTCTCATGCAAATGAAGCATGCAGTGCAACTTTCATAACTCATACTGGCATGTTTCAAGACTTAGGTTTTTGATAATAAGCGCACTTCAGCCAAACAGTGTGCTTTGGTAGCAAGCCTTCGTGGACCGGAATGAAGGGTTAAATGGCCAGCAACGTTAACCACTGGTTTTCTATCACTAAGTTTATCGCAATCTCGTAAGACCCGATAATTGCGGGAGATTTTGTCAAGTAGCTGAAAACAGTATGAGAAGTACCGCAAGAATTTCCTATTATCCTTCAGTCACTTGGTAGTTCTAAACGGGACATAATTTCGATTGTAACAAAAGCTGCGCAAGCACCTGGCAAACGGAGTAAACACATTTTTAAATGTATACGAGCCTTGGAACGTTAAGAAAACAGAGAACTAGGCATCTACTTCAGGCATACGTTTGTGCGCCATTTTTATTTGTTGTTGGTAGTACCGGGGTTTGCTGTGACGTTACCGGCTTCTATCCGCTTTTGTTTGGTGTGGTCCACGTGGAACGCTGTCAATTGAATTCACTGCATGCGGATGACTTATTTGTGGACATTTAAAACACATTCAGCGGAGCTGTCTTAAAGCGAACAGATAATTATTTCCATTCAATGCGACAGGTGGACTTCGACAGCAGAAAAAGAGTGTTAATTGCAGGAGATTTACATGAAAACTTACGTGATTGTGCAGCCACCTGGAATGGAATGAGTCATCCGTGCACTTAATCAGTGATCTTTTAAACATCAATTAGTTAGGGTGAGCAGAGAAATTCCAAGGTCGCTCGGAGTAGACCTCCATGCAATGCTGTTAAGCAGTCTTTCGCCTGAATCTTCCACACCGTTGACTAACATATACAGAATAGTAAGTATTGGCATTAAAAGACGAAATAATTTATTGAGTTCGGATAATAAAAACCTCTGGAAAATATATACATCATGAGGCAGTAGCATTTTAGGTACTTTGCCCAGTGGAAAGTCTTTTCCTACCTGCATTAGTTCGTCTGAAGTTTGTTCGCTCTTACAACAACTTAAGCTATGGTTAGACAAACCAAATTTTGCATCCAAATCTTGATGAAATATGGCGATTTTGGAGATTAAAAGTTGACATAATATTCGTTCGAGCAATAGAATCAAATTCACTGCAATATGTTATAATTTCCTTAACCCTCAGGTTTAAGCTTTTGATGCTGCCACCAACACCATGCGTAACAGTAGGCTTTCAGTTTATTCCGTGCGATAAGTGGCATTTGTTGCACTTTTACTGCAAGGGTATTTTAAATGGCAAATACATTGGTGATGGTCCAATAAACTTCAAAGAACGGTAAAGACGCAGATTTCTGGCACATCAGTCTCATAAATTTCTTGAATTTACCCAAGATTCTGCGATAAAATATTCTTCTTTCACGAACGGAATAGCGAGGTGATGGAGAAATTGTTCAGAACCCAATAAAGCATTTCCGGTCACAGTTGGTCTCAATGCATTATAGTGCCATTTGTTCGGATTTTCTGCCATATTAACTAGAATTCACGTTAGCTTAAGTCGGTTTTGTGGTGTAGACTAAAGCGTGCTTAAACGTCCGTAACTGGGATAGCCATGTTCTGGATAAGAACCTTTATTCTGAAGTTTCAAGGATTGGTGCGTTTTTCAAACTATAACACAAGCTATCTAAAGAAACTACCTTCAACACGGAGATTTCGTCGTGTTAGTTACCTACACATCGACTTACGCGGATGTGTATCTGGCACAGTTATTCAAGTAATTTATCATTTTTGACCAGGTATCATACAAGTTACACTTACTCGCAGTTTTGGCTATAAAATGGTTTGATGTGGTTCACATGTAGCCCAGAAGAGTTGTATAGCATGAAACTGACATCCAAAGATTCACTCGCCTTGTGCAAATGCCTTCATTAAATATGGAACTCTCGTGAGGTAGAGAAGACTTTTCGTGTAATAATTTCGAATCAGATTTCTTGTTCAGCTACTTGTGTAGCGACGCCGTCACCCACATACTTGACTGCTCAACTCACGGTCGCTCACTGGATCGCGAGGCTTGTCTTTTTTCTCATACGCACAAACACGTCGCATTAAGCCGGCTCATCGGGCATCGATTGTCTGCACCGCCTAGTCAGCGTAGCAACCACTCATGTGCCGACGCGCCCACGTATACGCACTGGGACCTACATAAAGGCAAACCGAACCCAGTCAAGACACACAGACTCGCGCACGCACAGGGAGCAGGGCGTCAACCTCTCCACAAGTCCACGGACAACCATGGAGTACGTGTAGCAGTTGAACTGCGGCGAAAAACACGTTTCCGCCGTCCGGACTTCCACCAAGGGACTCTCATATACGATAAGTTCCCTTTTTGACTTGCTCCAATTTCACATTGTATTTATTTTATGCGTGTCGCAACCATGTTAAAAACTATTAGTGCACATTCACCTGCTGATTTGTATTATGACTATCATCACCTGTGCACTAATACTTGTACATAGTAGTGTGACTAGTTTGGCTTTGGAACAAGAATGGTTACACACTTCACGTAGCATTTTCCCATGTGTTTGCACGCATTTCTTGACCCATAGCACCGCGTTCCTCCAGTTGCGCCAGTATAACCGTACTGCAGTCATACTCTCTTGATTTATGAAAACAAGAACCCGCCAACTCAACGAATTTTTGTCCAGGAAACGCATTCTGGTGGCTAATTTGAGGTCTTCAGTTGTGTCTGCCAAAGGTGTTGAATAGGTTGTATGCCACAAATGTTTAAAGTAACCAGTTACAGCAGCGTCCTGGACACGTACATTTTGTTAAATCATGGAGAAGTAACTTTGAAAACGGTAATTTACTTCCTTTACTGAAAAACCTATTGCTGGGAGTCATTCAATAATAACCTGGCTAAAGAAGGCTGTGAGGTAAACCGCGCCTACAATTCTTCCATAGAGGCAAACCAGGTGAACGCCGAAAGTGAAGTGTGAAAGATAACTTTCAGTTACATGACGAGGTTTAACTGCATACTCAAGAATAGATATTGACTTGAAGTGCCTATGTGTTTCTCACACAGAGATAACGGTCAATCTATTCCATAGAGATGTTCTAGCGCAAAATCGGAAAACTTTTGTAGTCAAGGAATAGAAATGCATCGGAAGACTTAATGTTCCGTGCATTTGTATGAAGCTGAGCACTAAATCCTTCACAACTCCAAACCCATCACCTCGTAATCTGCCTACTGCCAATGCAAACATACGTTCACAAATGAGCGAAATTGTTACGCAATTCTACATTGATCTGCAGGCTCTTGCGAGCGATACATATATCGAATGATAAGGCATCCCTAGATCATTTTTGATCCATCAACGTGCACTGAGTTTACAACGAAGTTATAAGTTAAAACACGATTTTTGGTGAACTAGTGGTTACACGCTCGCCTCGCATTTCAGATGTCCGCGTTCAAATCCCGGTACGCCCTTTAAGTGTGCACTGCTGATGAGCACTAGTAAGAGCGAAACCCGAGTCCAGTGCTTCCCTCTGGTGTGGGATCATGGGAATTATCATGCCAGAACAGGAGGACGACCGTTCAAACTAGAGTGGTGTGAATATAAATGAATATAACACGATCCTTCTGCACACAAAACGTCATTTTTTGCCTAATAGCTTGTGGTAAAGCAGACACACTTAAACGTCAGGCCCAACAGGTTATTAAGGTAAGTGTTACTGAATGAACCTACAAAAGTTTATTCTATGAATTTAGGCTACATAGGTAATTATTTTGATTGCTCCTTCGTCCATTTGTTCTTTGCTCCAATAAAGACTAGATACAATTTAAAAAGAACTGATATCTTGCAACTTTGCGCACTAAACTTTCCATGGATAGAAAAACTTACGTAGCTCCAAGTACGAAATTGCTGTGTGGAGCGAAAATGAGTTATATGCTTTGATTAAAACATAAATGAGAGGTAATTATTTCAAAACCGTTAGAAATAATAAATACGATGGTTCTAGTAATGTCACCACAAATTAGCGGTTCAAAATAGCAGTGCTATTCTGTTATATCGCGAACAACGATAAAAATACAGTCAAATAATTTGCCCGAACCTGGACGAGGAATGTTTAGTTTCGCTGCGCCGATAAAATACGAATCAGATGTGCACTTCATGGGTTTATGCGGCATATTTTGAGGTTGACTTGCATGACCGGTTTTGTATTAAATTTATGAAAAAAAATTTCATACCTAAACCAGTTTTGGCTATACTAAATCTAGACTAGGCGGATCATAGTGATACTTGTCAAGAAATCCGTCTTTGATGAGCGGTTGTAGATTCACGTTATATTAACCTGATGCTTAATGAAGCTCCTACAAAAAACAAGAATCAACATTTGTGGCGGAACGTTTAAACCCTGCTTGCTTTGTAGTTATTTTGTGGTGCCAATGCTTGTGACTGACATTTGCGCAGGTGCCTTACCTTCAGTGATGAAATCATGAAAGGCTGAAAGAGAAGTAAAAACCATAAAAGTACACAGCAAAATATATGCATCATGCATTTTACTGTGGTATTTCTTACCAGGGGATTGTTGCTCATAGGAAAACCAATGAATTCATCGTTTGCGTTCTGATGTCGCTTCGTTTGTGACATTCACTTTGGTTGATTTTGGTCCTGCGCGCGTCACATGGTTCTTTCACTCTGTCACATCTGGGGTTACCAGTCAGGGGTGTGGAAACAACTCAGTTTGCCTAACGTATGAAGTGACACCCATTTGCTAAGAAAGTAGGACATCCAACTTCCACATTACTCTGGCGTTTACTGGTTTTGTTACTGATGCAAATCTTGCTACCTACATAACACTTCTGCTAATGAAGGGAACGTGGATCAGCCTGCAAGTGTGCTTTTCTGTGTCTCTGGACCACACAATTAAGTTTTTTTCAGTTGCACCTTGGTGCAATATGCTACTTAAGTATTATCGTCTGTAAGGACGGGATAATGAGCCAGAAAAAAAGTGGCTCATACGGGCCTCATTCCGTTCAATGGTTTCAACGTAGAATGTCCGAACGGTGAAATATTTGGAAAGGTCGTCTGAACAAGGCGTTTGCTGTTTTGCTGTCTATGTTTATAATATAGATTAACGAATAGAAGCGTTACAGACTCGCTTTACGTCATGCCGATTTAGAATTGCATTCGACCTAACCAAAACATTTAGAAAAAGAAACTAGGATACAAGTTGTCGAGCACAACTAAATAGATCACATATTGTTTCTGACAGTGCCGCACAATTTCTCCTTTCTAATATGAAACCATCGACCAAATATCCGTCAGATTTGATAGACAAAGAATTATATGTGCATTGGTTTGTGCAGCTTGCATACAACATGTGACACTTTTGTGCGTGGCACATGGCATTGAATGTACATTCTAGCCATCTAATCTCAAACCAGACCCAGTAGGACGGACACTTTGTGCCTAATGTGCGAATCTTGATTGTGCTGGCACTTACGGCGCCTTGAAGAACATTCAAAATTGTTTGCCCTTTCATCGGTTGCTGGTCTTTAGACGCGTGTTTCCATGGCAAATTTTTACTTACGTTGGGATTTATCTCATCTGACTGGAACTGTTAGTGACATGAGTTCGAGTGAGACATTTCTCGCTTTCAAGTCATATTGTCCTGTTACCCTTTCGTATTTGACGCTTGCATTCACTTTTTGTGTTTGTGACTATACCCTTCAAACATCCATGACAATAAATGACAATAGTAACCCAGAGCTTTTTGATTGACCTTTAAATTTAATCTTTATTCTTTAATTTCACAAGAACAATCATTTGTGTATAAGCACCTCTGTGTACACGTTAACATAAAAATGAGTAAAAGCGTGGTCTTTCTCAGTTAAAAAACAGCAGATTGGACTTCCAATCGAAAAACTTGGTGCATTATAAAGTTCCAAATCCAGAAAACATTCCTCACTTAAAAACCTACATTTGTGAAAACCTGCAAGCTGCTTCTGTGATAAATTTATTATTTCCTGGGATTTTTCTACATAGAATAGTTTCCAAATGTCCCAGATGTTTCTCACCAAGCCGCGTTGCTTTAATTTCTTTAAGTGGCGTCCTTTGTTACCCTCGAAAAACAACCCTGAGTTGGGCAAAACTCATTGATCGGTCATAAGAGACCTGTCACCTGGATTCGGGCTATCCGAGGGCGACATGGTGGCCGAAAACAGCGTTTTTCTGGTATCTGCAGCGTCTTTAGTTTTTTACTACCGATTCCTCAGAAGCATCGCTGCCGCCGAATAGCTTCAACGAATTCGTAAGTAGTCAGTTTCTGCATGTACTTTACTCGCGGAAACCATTCAGCATCATCAATGATGGTGGCACTGCCATGTGCTACACATGGTGACACATTGTACATTTACAGAAAATTTATTCTGTAAGCCATACTCAGAGGAGCCTAAACTTTTATTGAGCAACATGAAACTAAAAGATAGTGTGAAAAAATTGTGAACAGCATGGGTGTCACTTGAACGGTTCACCATCCGTGGTGATGCTACAGTGACCTCATTGCATTACTGTTGAAATTGAAAGTATTGGCCACTAGCAAATGTATGTGGGTGTCTTGCTATGATTTTTCTTCTCAAGTTGTCCCACATAGCAGTTCGATGTCAGAACTTCAGAAAGCTGCTATTGGTAAGCACCAAGTGGCCTTCCTTACCCACTCTTTTATTTTCTTCCAACTACAAATATTCAATTGTGCTTAGATTACCGTTTGTGGTTGTACGGCAGTTAATTGTCAGTGTCAACACTGCTGTTGCTGTTTCTAATGGTGTAAAAGACTGTCGCTCTTTCGGAAGATTTTATCAGCATCAGAACCCTTTCTTGCACATACTTTAACTTGAGGCCGAGGAAAAATCCCAGAGACGTTTCGTGGATATGTGTCATTGAAGCATCAGTGTCGGTAGTGTGTTGTTGTTTGTGATGTAATGATGCGTATAAACACAAAGATGTTTGTCGTGTCTAAAATAACGTAGATGCATTTCAAAGAGGGCTCACGAAGCTCCGTCATCTCTAATCTGATAACTCGATTATTTCCTAATTGTCACAAAAATAAATGTCTTTTTAAAAGACACCCAAAAAATATGCTCCACTAGTACGCGGATAACATCAGTAAATAATTTGCATCGGTACTTGAGCCAACAGTGGAAAAATATAGAAGCCCTGTCGTTGTTTCCTTCCAAATTAATGCAGTGCAAAAAATGCACTGTCATTTTTAAATTAGGAATACAGAACCTCACTATTTTTGGCAATATCTAGAACGTGGCTCAGCACAGTATCTCATCTTATTTCTATAGTACAGTTACACATATGACGCGTAAATAAGCATACTGGTTATTCTGTCACATGTGACCAGCAAAACAAATATTCATTCAGCCGCGCATAGCTGATTGTCTAAGACTGCATACTTAAGTAAGTTTGAGGTGGTAAGCATAGCTCACGCAAATGTTTATTTGTGTATATATATCTTGGCATTATAGTAAAATAACTCTGTGAAAAAAGTAGTCTCGCTTTGGCATTGAGATGGTAAAGGTTATACAATTCGAACACGTTTTCGTGTCGATAAAATTTTACAGTCGCATAAAAATTATGCAAACTCCTATGTAACGTCTTAATTTTTGGAAAAATCTTGCATTTCTGCAATTGCAGAGTTACTTGACTGATTGCACACTGTCTTGAAAATTTGTACACCAACAAATGAAGGCTTGGAAAAATTGTTCTACGGTAACCTTTAAAATAATAATTTTTCTTCTCTAGGCAATGCTCAAAGCTTCCGATATTCCAAATAGCCTGAATGGCGTCTTCACCTTCCCGTTTTATTTAAGCTAATCTCTCTGTTAAACCCAAGTTTCGCAAAATACTCTAGTGGATTCAAAATAATTGCATTTAAAAAGAAAATTTTCATTGCAAGATCGACCAATAAACGGAATTCCTTGCGGCCACTGCAACTAGGCTTTAGCTAGTCGATTACTAAACACAAATTGTGCCTCACTTAACGTACCATTTTAATGCAACCATACAGCTGTCTAGTGCGAGGAGACACCTCGAATATGTTTCCAAGCTGTTTGTTACAAAAGCTATTGACAGTTCATTGGTGTACTCCCGGAACCTGGTAGCACTAGCTAAATGCCCAGCAGCGGAAGTCCATTTGAATATCTCTAGACAGTTCTCAATTCTGCAAATTAAGTTGTAACGATTATTGTGTTGAGACCGAAATGTTCAAATCGAGGCTCAATAATTTTCTACTGAAGCGCTCCCGAACACACAGAAAATGTAAAATGCTTGCGAAAGAGGTCAGTAGATTGATGCCGGAGACTACCAAAATACTATAGGTGTGCACCAAACAAGTGGGCAGTGACATTCAAGACTTACTGAGATGTAGCTCTGAGGGAAAACGGTCACGAAAAGTAAACAGGAAATTTATAGTGTTTAAAGCTCATTATTGGTGTCATTGCTTTGGACATTACTTATGATTAGTCAAAGAACTCACTCGTCATTTTGAGAGCATTAAAGGCTGATCAAAGTGCAAGAAACCCTTGAATAATGTTGTGATTTAATTATCTATAGTAGCCGGCTAATATCCACTACTTATTATCCAGTACGTTTGGTAACACCATATTTATAATCTGCTAGCATTTGCGTCAATCAACATTGAGTTAAAACATCCATCCTGGTAAAAGCCTAGAAGCGAATGAAGACACAAACACAACTTTCGACTATTGGATTTTAATAAATGCGTAATAATAATAATAAATGCGGATGTTGAGCTAGGGAAGCAATTCTTTGGAACGAGTGCCACACACACGCGACGGATAAATTGGTCGGGTCACAGTTCCAAAAAACCAAGTGGGATCTATGTTCCCCCCGCTATTTAGTGTAGGACCGTTCCAACAATCACTGGCCTCTAAATGTCCTCTTCTTAGATTGCATGGATACACTCATACTGAATATCACCTCTGTCATCAGCGTGTCAACCCATATTCAGTGGGTTTATAACAGAATTAGATCGCAATCAATGTGCTACGAAAATTTTACGTAGCTGTTGAGCCGAACGAATCAGCATTGTTCTACTTGATTCTGAGGGGAAGAAGATTGACGAATCACTGCCTCTAGTGTTACTATTACCACTGATATAACGAGTTCTTCAAACGGAGGTTCTCTGTCTGTGTCTAACGTGACATAATCCAAAGGAGTCGGTGATCGCGTTTCAGGTGGCATACATGTTGCTTGCCTTCATAGGGTATAGTAAATTCATTGGGGCAATGTGACTGACCTCCAGGAACACAATATCTTTGATACATTCACGAAAGATTCGTTGAATTCGTTGCACCAAATCTAGTAACTCGCTTAATCAGCAACTACCCTCCAAACGTGACATGTGCTTTTAATCAAGTAGATTTTCGGATTAGCTTTGGTGTCTGCAGTGTCCGCCAACTACCTATATATACATCGATAGTTTGCATCTGATTGTGGGATTTGTTTGCTGATGCGCTTTTGACGTTCTCGTCCACATGTATGCTTAACCTTAATTGACCACCGTTCAAGTCGAAATGTGCGTTCATGAGTTCAATTCAGTTAGAGTAGTCGTAGGGCATTCAACTTGATCGAAAAATGGCACCTGAGCGATTGTCAATCTACCTTGAGTAACAGCACTGTGGAAATGGTTGGCACGTCATTTTGTATAATGTTGTTGCGAGGTTGCTAAAGTTCATATGATGCATCCTGACAGAGTAAGGTAGTCATATATTAGCTGCACGAAAAAGAAAAGAAAACGATCGGCCCCATTTAAACCTATATCTTTGTACCTCAATATGGCACACAATTCACAGCATCAAGCTGCGGATTTCGATCAGCCTGATTTTCTACAGGCGCACAGATACCAACTAGGTCGACCTATACAGAGCTTCGAAGCTTTCTGAAAACAAAAAACTTTGTTCCTGGACGATTGTGTCAGCCGACAAATGACTACCGGGTTGAAGGTTCTGATGATCACTTTTATTCTTAAGGCTCCAGGTGTTCAAAAGAAATATCCGGGATTATTGCGGTTTCAAACTTTTGGGCGAATTTAGAATTTTAAAAATTTCTACCTTGGCAGAAGTATACCCGGATGATACTGATGATACTGAAACGCACTCGTGGGATGAGGTGAACATGTGCCTGTTTAAATTTTATCGGTTTCCAAAGTACGTAAGACATTTTTCATTTGCTTTGACAAGAAACTTTATTTGCACATCAATTAATGCCCAAAATATGACCGTTTTCAACTGTGGAGGGAACGTACCGCTGGGGGTGTCTTGATTAAAATCTGTTAAACATTGAAAAGAAGTATATCAGAAACTTTGAGAGAAGACTAATTAGAAATTTGCAGAGCTGTGCTTGGGTGCACTTAAGTATCTTGAGGGCCTGATATGTTTCGTTAGGACTAAGGTGAGGTCGACCTGTCAGAGGAGTGAAATTCGGAATTTACCTGAGTACTGTCCTGTAAGAAAAAAACAAGTTACGAGATGAAAACCGTTTAAAACTGTAATTCGTTTGCTTGACTGACCATTTCACAAAGCTCTGTATAGAATATTACATCATAATCAGCCGTTCGAAATGGTAAAACCAGACACCACAGGGTACAGTTTCGTCTCAAGTTTGAACGCCAATCATATAAATTCGAAGCAAATAGAACTGTGGCCAAAGCGTTGACAATTTGTTTGCTAGAATAGATTTGGGACACCACGAATGGAGTGCTGCGTTGCCATGAAGCATTTGACTAGAAATCCTTGCATCTACCTACTATAAATAGGAGTGCAAATTCAAATCTACCGGAAAACTCGATGGTACGCACTGTTGGTGCCCACCCTCTGGAAGAATGCAAATACTATAGTGTATTTTTCAGCCTTTGGGCATGCACTGATATCTGGATTTCGGCCTTGAATATTGCGTCGGCATAATACATATTAGTGCTGCTCTGTGTGCTCTGCTAAATGACATTTCCTAATAATAAATCTACACACCGGAGTTTTTTATACAGTTCAAGTATTTCCTCAAGGATCGACTGCCATCTTTTATGGTGGGTGGTTCTCTGTGATTTGTAATTGGGTTGATGAAGAAAGATAAGCATCATAACAACTTTTAGGATAGCGATTCATGGAGGTATTTTTGGTCATTATTTATTCACCACCAGAAACGAGTATTTCGATTGCTAGGTCAGGGTAGGGTTTTGTTATTGGTATAAAATAATTGAGTTAATGAAATTGCATGCACTAGAATGAAACTATGATTTCCATCATGTACAATCGTTTAGTGATTCGAAACACTGTGTGGGCAGGGAGACAACTGGCTAGTGTTCAAAGCAGGATCCACTCTAACTTTCGAAATAACTGAATTCGGTTATCTACCAGTCGCGTCCACACAACTTGCAAGCAACTAACCCAAGTTGGTCACATTACCATTGATTGCCGACAGGAGGGCTCAATACATGACTTCCTGTTGTTCAAGCACATACAAGTTGATTCATACCATGTACTCATATGGAGTCACTTCTCTCTTCCGTGGACCGTGTAAGGCGCGGCCGAATGGCTTAACAAATAAAAAAACTGGCATATAATAACCATCTTCTTAGCTCTCTTCCGAATGCGCAACCGCCGGATATAAACACAAACCGAAAATAGAATTTGACATTTCTGCGGAGTTCTGCGAGTTTGGTCCGTAAAATTGCGCTATCAGATCTTCTTAGCCACTTAAATTTACAAACATTGCTTAAATTTCGGGAAAATGTTCCTGCTATCTCTTAGTTTAATTTGGCTGGAGTAATCATCCGGGGCCAAGATAAAGTGGGCGGGCGTCGACCCAAAAATCAGTGGACTCAAAAGCCGAAGTAAATGAAAGGGACCAAAAAAGCTGGGAATGCCAAACGGCGGCCGTTCACCTGAATGTGGTTGCGAGAAAAGCACGAGGTCCAAATTGAAGCAAGCATATGGAGTAGAGAAGAACGCTTCCACAGCAACTTAAACAACAATTCTCATGGTCGACCATAGAAGGCTGACTGAGGAATCGGTAATTATCTTCGAACTTGGTGGTTTCTGCAGCACATGTTCTGTAAGGCGCAACCGAGCTGCTGGTCTGGATGTCCTTCCACCCGCACTGTTCAGCAATGGAAATGAAGTTCTCAGTCAGCACCTTTATTTAAAAAGACGATACTGCCAAAGACCGCTGGATAAAATCAGCTGCAGTGCTTGTTTTCAAGAAATGGGTGATGATTGCTGTAATCACAAACGGATCAACTTGACCCCATTCGAAACGGAACTCATGAAATGGCTTGCATCCATCACTTTGTGGTGGAGAGCGATGTAATAATTCAAGAAAAGCAATTGGGATCCCGGACTGTTGGGTGCTACGTTGACCAAATCTTTGCACTTCGTCACCTGTTAGATGAATGCCATAGGTATAGTCGAACCCCAGCTTCTGTGTCGCTGAACTCCCAATGGCGTATCCGACTCGCTGGTCAAGTACGTTTTAGGCACGCTTGA